ATATATATATATATATCTGACTTTACCAAATTTTAGGCGAAGTAGTTCAAAATGCATTTTAGTCAAAATACCTTTACATTGGCAATATGATAGAATGCAATTTAAATTTGTTGTTGTATGTTGAATGCATGACTGCTCTGATGCATTCTCCAAGTAAGTGTTTGGTCGTAGTTGGGTTAAGTGCTGACGACGAGGGTATGCATTGTATGTTTATACAAGAAAAGTAGCAAAATATTGGAATTCTAAGTTGTTCATGGTGGAATGCAGTAGGCCTGCAAATATGTGAAACGTTGCATTCTTATCTTATCCTTTTCCATGGCATTATCACTCATATGGGGTCTAGAAAGATAAAGTGCCTTCAATATTTTTGTTGTTGCCTTTACATACCAATAATTAACCTAGAAAATAAATCCATCTTATGTGGAGAAGGCCAAACCATAAAATATGACAATATGTATTTATTTTCAGTATCCCCACGTAGACCAGGTTGTCTTTGCTTTTGCTCCACCGACAGATGCAGTTGAAAGGGTGGATTTTTTTTTATTCTTGACTATATTTTTCATGCTACTATTTGAAAATTTACCGCGTAGTCAAAGGAATAATTTATTTAAAAGTAATTTGGAAACTTGGATGCGTCTTGTGAATTACAGGGCTACTTGGAACAGCACTGAGAGGCGAAAACTTGGATTTTTCTCGTGTGGAACTGGTAACCCTATTGATGACTGCTGGCGTTGTGACCCCAATTGGCACAAGAACCGTAAACGCCTTGCTGACTGTGGTATTGGTTTTGGGCGCAATGCCATTGGAGGCCGAGATGGCCGATTTTATGTTGTCACTGATAATCGGGATGATGACCCTGTTAACCCAAGACCTGGCACTTTACGCCATGCTGTTATCCAGGACAAGCCTCTCTGGATTGTCTTCAAGCGTGACATGGTTATAACATTGAAGCAGGAACTCATCATGAACAGTTTTAAGACCATTGATGCCCGTGGAACCAACGTACATATTGCCAATGGAGGGTGCATTACAATTCAATATGTTACCAATATTATTATTCATGGTTTGCACATCCATGATTGTAAACCGACGGGAAATGCCCTGGTGAGGAGCTCGCCATCACATTTTGGTTTCAGGACCATGGCTGACGGCGATGCCATTTCTATCTTCGGGTCGAGCCATATCTGGGTCGATCACAATTCGCTTTCTCATTGTGCTGATGGCCTTGTTGATGCTGTCATGGGCTCCACAGCCATTACCATTTCCAACAACCATTTTGCCCATCACAATGAGGTCCGTTAGCTTTGAAATGTTTTTCCGTAACATCCAATTGCCGGTAAATATACGAATAATCTTGTTTGTTTATGTCAACAGGTTATGCTGTTGGGACACAGTGATTCTTATGTGAAAGACAAGCAAATGCAAGTGACCATTGCCTACAACCACTTTGGTGCAGGTCTCATTCAGAGAATGCCAAGGTAATTCACACTTGGAATTTCATGCTAAATGGCTGTATTTAAGACCTCTTTGCATAATCCTCTATTTTGTGGAGGAAAATCCAATTCCTATTTTACGTGGAACACTAAAAATCAAGACCTTAACATCGACTTTTTGGAACTAAGATACGTAATCTGATGGGAAAACATTGTACAAATAATGCAGGTGCAGGCATGGATACTTCCATGTCGTGAACAATGACTATACTCACTGGGAGATGTATGCCATTGGTGGAAGTGGAAACCCCACAATCAACAGCCAAGGAAACAGATATCTTGCCCCTGCCAATCCTTTTGCAAAAGAGGTACCACAAAGTCACGTTGCTTCATAAACAATTACCAATCATTCGCGATGAGATTTAAGCGCCATTCTTGTTTAAATGTTGGTGATTTTGTTTTGATAGGTGACAAAACGAGTCGAGACAGCTGAAAGTCAATGGAAAGGTTGGAACTGGAGGTCGGAGGGCGACCT